TAACAGCGGTAACAAGGCCTGTCAGAGGAGTGTGAACCAGTGCTACTGAGCCTATCAGCCCTATGTCATGCTAGCAGAGTCACATGATCTCCTAGCCAGGATGATAACATGGTGCTTATATCTCATTGGCTTTCGAGGGTGTTAGTCAAATGTGAACCAAAATCAGCCACATTGCATCGAGTGTATAATAAACACACACAGGTACACAAACGCTCACACGCCCACAACTAAGACACACACATAAATGGAGCTGTTCACACACGCACACAGACACAGAGACACACATACACACACACAGACCTGTACTCATATCTTTCTGGGGGCCGTCCATTCGCTCTATGGGCAAAACCCTAATCCCAACAATGACACCCTTAACCCCCTACCCAGCCTTAACCTTAATTATAATTAACAAAACAAAATACAAGTCTTTTGGCATTTTTAGTATTTGATTGCATTCACAGATTTTTTTTTATAAAATTCAGGTTTATATTGTAGGGACCGGAAAAATGTCCCTACAAGCTAAAAGATTTCACCACATGCACGTACACGTATGCAGGCGGAACCCTGATACAGTCCCCAACATTACGGTCTCACATCAAACAAAGACCAAGAAGAATCTGTATTTCTCAGCCAGAGGCCATTGTCTCCCACTGCATTCTGGAGCCTTCCGCCAGGGCCGGGTGGAGGAGGCCGTGCAGAGAGTGGTCAGGTCCCCCTGTGAGAGGTGGAGCAAAGGCAGCGAGAAGACGGTGTTTCCTTGGAGTGTGTGTGTTAGCACAGTGCCCCGCTCTCCATGTGATCTGCGGTGATGGACCATGTGACTGCAGGGCAGAAGAGCCAACAGCTTCACTGTTTCCCTCTCTTAGGAAAAAACACACAAATGCATATGTACAAATGGAGAAATTCAGCCAACCAACACATACACAGACACACACATAAAACAAATAAGGCTGAGATATGACCAACCAACACATACTCGCACATACCCGAAGATACAAACACACCATGCAGACAGACAAACAAGCATTCAGCCAATACACACACAGAAATACACATAGCAATAGAGTCAGCCAACACATACAGACAGGGCACACACAAAGTACCCTGCACGTACAGTATGCTGACACACCGTCTAATTAAGCCCTAACACATATACAGCATACACAAAACCACACGCACATTCCAGCAGCCAACACCCTGACACACTCTAACAGACATGAGCCAAACCCAGCGCACACGGACACAGACTGAAGCCAGATTCCATAGCGGAGGTATTACTCTCAGCCAATGATGCGGCGGATATGAAATCATGTGGTCCTGTTACATCACCACCTTAAAATTTACCTCCTTCCTCTGCTACATTCACTGATCCACATATGCCATGCATGTAACATGCAGACTCACATGAATGTCACATGATACATGCATGCCACGGTCTGGCACAGAATCCCCAAATCCCCGCTGGGCCCTTCTGTTCCCACTGTACAATGTGGCCCTTTGTCATCGTGGCTTTGGCCCCAAGAATACAGTGGACCCATGGGGCTGAGGCACCACTGCCTGACTGGAAAGCCCGCTCCCGTGGCAACCGCGCCTCCTCACTGCGGCGAAACTCGCTGGCACGCCGGAATGCTTTTTTAAAGCGGGGGTAGTGGCAGGCCCCTGGAGACAAGGGAGGTGCCATGGAAAGCAGAAAAGGGTGGGGTGGGGGGTGTTTTGTAGCTGGTAAATTTTAATAGATTTTTATGAGACCGGCAAAGTGCCTGGTCAGTTGAATGGATGAGTCCCGCCTTCCTGTTTGCCCACCCCCTTTGTAAAGGTGGTGGGGGGTGGGCTTATGAAAAGAGTTTAGAAAGGCCCTCTCCATGGGGCTACGCACATGCCCTTCCCCCTCACCCCCACCTCCTGCCCCCTCCCCTGTCAAGCTCTCACTCAAGTGGAGAAGCAGAGAAAGACGCACTTCAGATCCCCCCCACCAACCATAGCGTGATGCTCACACAAAGAAAGCACCTTCACGTTCCGCTTCAGTCGGCCTGTTGCGGAGTTCCCCAAACTGAAATAGGCTTTCCTCGGGGCAAGGCAAACGCGTTCTTGCTTGGTCTCCATCGGATAACCGCTGGACGCCGTCTGCGAGTGCGGGGCCTGGGACCCGTTCCAGGGTGGAGATCCGTCTAGACAAAGTCAGCCAGCAGAACCAGTAGTGGTGCGCATGCGACGCTTTGCTGGCCGGCCTGCTTCCTTTCCCCAGCACCCTGGCCCCCCCTCCAGTCACAAACTCGCAGGACACAGCAACCCCGCTGAAAATGAAGTCACCATTTACCCGGGGGCTGTTTTGGAGGTGAAGCGCTCATGTGAGGGACAAAGTTAGCGCTGCGATAAAGCCACCACCGCCCCCCCGGGACATTGGGACAGTACAGAGAGCTTCTACCAAAGGTCCCCAAAGGTCTCCCTCAGGCCACGGTGATCTCCGATCCTCATTCACAGGACACAGGATGTATCTGCAGATGAGCTCCAGGACTCCATGAACCTCCAGTTATAATATTCGCAATTATTATGAATTAAGGCCCTAAAGATGTAGATCAGGAGAAGATCTGACAGCAGATGACCGAGCTGTAAGCCCCACCTGTGAGCATATGGGCCCATTGTGACGTTCCCCCGCTCCCGTCACTGACACAGCGTACGATCTCAAGGCAAAAAAACCGAGAGACTCGTACTGGAACACGGTGCAGTACACAATGCAGGCGGCCCCTTACAACAGGGGATCCCAACAGGCTGTCTGCAGAACCCTGCTGGTTTGGGGGAGGGGTCCATTCACCGCCAAAGATAAACTATATATTTTTAAGCCACACCTTTTTTTTTTTTTACAGCCCCTGACGATCAGGCTTTCTGAGGGCATCAGGGAAAAACAGAAACAGCTTAATGTATTAAATCTGGCCCGTCGGATGTGGCCCAGCTTACGCCGGTTCATTGTCATGAAAAGGTGGGGAGCTGCTCCCTTACAGGTCTGTGTGCATTTGCGTGTCCGTGTGTGTGTGTGTGTGTGTTACTGCATCCCGAAGGTGAAGCTCAGCCACTCCGCTGGATCGCCCTCTTGCTGGATCACCTGGGAGCTGCGGCCAATTTCTGAATCTGATGGCCGTTTCATTGAGAGGGGTCTCTGGCGAGGGAGGCAGTTCAGGCTTTGGGTGAGACCCCAGGCCCCACCGAACCAAAGTGACCCCCCCCCACCACGCACCAGCTCACATTTAGCTCCAGCTAACACCCAGGCCTCATTAATCCTCTCGATGGGTTAACCTGCCTTTCCCTGCTCGCTGCTTTCCCTCACACAGGAAAGCTGTGTCTGCACTTATTTCTGCTTCGCCACTCTCTGCGTCCCAGTCTTCACTCTCCGTCTCTCTCTCATTCTTTATCCACCTGCACAGCCCCTCGTTTCCCAGCCTGCCACCTGAGAGCTGGAGATGAGCCACACAGTCACAGATAAGTGAAGCCGAAGTGGATTCGTCCACTAAAATTCCCTGCCGTCTCTGTGCCTCTCCTCCCATCGCCCACGGTGCCCTGGGCCCCCCAGCCTCTGCTCTGCCGCGGCCACTAACATGTGCCTGGGGTCAGGTGACTGGGAGGAACCTCCTGTGTGGATCCACATCACTGTGAGTACAGGGGGCCTCATTATTGCAGCTTCTCCATCGTTTCTGCTTCACCAGCAGGTATTTTAGTCATTATCTCTGACCGGCTGAGGCCGGAATGGCGGGTAGGACTGCTGCTTCGCACCTCCGGGCCGTGGGTGTGTGTGTGCGTGTGAGCATGTGTGTGGAGTTGCATGTTCTCCCCATGTCCTGCTGATTTCATCATGCAGACCAAAAACGAAGTGGTGCCTGCGGAGCATGACTGTGTGCGGGGTGAATTTACTGCATTTCAGTTAGTAAACTACAGGATTACAGTGCACAGTACAACAACCCATTATTTATGATCTACTGGAATACAGTTAGTAGACAGTTCATTTTTTCTGATCTACTGAATTACAATTGATGAACAGAATGAACAGAATGTACGGATCTAATGGATTACAGTTTTAGTTTTTTTAGATCAGTTTATTTGTTATATGTATGATAACACAAGGTCAACATTACAATAAAATGCGTTGGACAAGAGAAGAATCAAAAAGATCTCTCAGCATTGGAGCCCTACAGAAGTTTAAATGTATAGTAATATTAAAAAGTCAGTAGACAGTTCATTATTTCTGATCTACTGAATGTACTAATCTACCTGGTTCACATTTTACTGAATGATGACAGAATTATTGCTCATAATGACAGAGTAAAACAGAAAAGGGAGATTAAACATTTTAGTGCCACAGTAATGTTTTTGTCATTCTTGTCATCAGTTTGCCTGGTGCTGCTGTTGTCTCGTTCTTATTGGGGCATTTTGATTGGGGGTGGGGGGGTAAACTGCAGTAGAAAGAACATCGAAAACACAAAGCTCTTGATTTGTGAAACAAGTGACAGAGGTGGGGATGGATGGGGGGGGGGTGTACTTTTATGATGCCATAACTCAGGATGTGTACTGTAGTTCAACGATTTCCTAGCACTTTTCAAAGTGAAAGCAGAACCCCCCCCCCCCCCAAACCAAACAAGAAGCGGAAAACCCGGAGATGTGTGTGTGGGCCAAGCTTTACGCCATTCCCCCAGTGCCCCCATGCCCCCAGCCTGATGATGGCTCCATTGAGCACAATTTGCTCCATGGATTGTGAAGGTTTCGAGGAGGCTGGCAGGATGGAGGAGGGCCTCAGAGTATCACGAACTGTAACTTCATTTAACCCCCCATTTCACAATACTGTTGCCTGAATAAGACAGCCCCGGCTGCTTTATTTCCGTGTGAGTGGCAGGATGCTATCCCGTGTCTGAATGGCTCCATTGATACTCATCGAAATGACCCATCTCCCACAACATGAGCTGCCTCCATCTGGCTCCCGATTGGCCGGACTCAGCCACACCCCCGATGCCTACCTCAGCGGCCGGGATCCCCTCAGGTGGGCGGCACTGCAGGAGCACTTCTTGTTCCAGCGACACCTCCTTCCCCAGTGGCTCCTGGTCAAAGGTCTTCCTGAGATCTGAGGAAATAAGAAGCGGACAGCTCCACTGAGGCAGAGTAAGCACTCTGGTGGGCCTGACAGGCGCCATTAAGCATGCCAGATGACCACTCGCGTCCTGGGTCCTGACTTGTCAGCTCAACATGTGTCCACACCCTGTGCCACAAAAAGGCGGCTTCCCGCATGGCTGTGAGCCGAGAAGATGAGCCCTTTAACACCACATCGTGGAGCTAAACTCCAGGCCGCCGGGGGGTTACGGATTCAGACAGCGCCGCCTCACACTTAAACGCGATTCTGAATGTTTTTCTAAAATGGCGGTATGCATGAACTTGGAAGTGGGGCTGGGGGGGGGGGGTCGCCCAGGGTCACATAGCCCATCATTCAGAAGCCACGACAGCCGGTGAGACTGGCGGGGGGTGCGAGGGCCGTCCTGAAGGGGGGAGGGGGACACCACCCCATCGTCACATTTCTTCAGAGCCCCGCAGAGCGGCGACGGTGACCGGCTGCTCCTCTTACAGCTGGGTGACGCTGGCATTCCCCGGAGGCTCCGAGCAGGCCGCTAATTACACGCTTGGCTAAGGCACAGTGCGAGGTGCCCCTGTGCCCCCCCCCCCCAATCCGTCTCTCGCTCAGTAGCAAACAGACACTGGGTGTCGGCCTGCCGGGAGCTCGGGGTTAAGCTGCGGGGGGGGGGGTGTCAGACAGACACAATCAAAGGGTAGGGAGGAGGGATGTAAGAGGGTGGGATATGATTCCTGTGCCAAAATCCTGCAATGGTTTGGCATCTCTTCTTGGGGGGTGGGGGGCGATTGGGCATCCCTGTCATGTGCCCTGTAATGGGATGATACCTCACAGACACAGTGCACAGCCTGGCAAATAGACATGCATATGCTAGGGCCGGACACTAGGGGGCAGACAGTCAATATTCCAGCCGGAACTAGCCAAAACCGCCGAAGCACTTGGCAGCTTCTCAGACGGAGAATTGCGCCCCCCCCCCAAAGGGAATTCCTGAAGGCCATTTGCATTTCACATCAGCGTTTGAGATACAAAAAGTGTAAGTGATTCCAGTTTCTAGCATACCACTGGGCCTCGTACCACACCCCAGATACGCCTGGGACAGGGGGATGCTACACAGCTAACAGTGTCAGTCATCTCATGCTGAAAGCATGGCTGATTCTAGACCCAACTTCTTGTCACTGACCCCTGAAGATGTGCAAAGTTTGCAAATTGTTCTGTATTGTTGTACATATTTCATGCCCCCCCTCCCCCGACAATCTTATTGTCAGGGATATTGGGGGAAGGGGGGCCTTCCCCGTATTTCTTTAGGTTAAAAGCTGAGGAGCCTGTGGCCGCTCCCCGCAAGGGTCAAACGCTAAAATCGCCCCAGCTGTAAAGTTTGCTTGTGTTGTGGTTAAACATGATTCACTGGTTTACAGTGCTGGTCACTGGCAGGATGCCCACAGTGACATGCGTGTCTCTGAGAGCGAGGAACCAGGCTATGTATGAGCAGAGGAGGGAGTGCGAGCACATGGGTGCCATTTGAATTTCTGCTTGTGTCGTGATATGACTTTGTTTCCTCTGAGTCCCGAGGCTGGCATGTTACCCTGGGTTTGAACATGTTGCCTCAGGACCAGTGGGTTGGGGGGGTTGGGTTCTCTTTCAGCTCATCTCTAGGGATTGAACTGGGCAAAATAAAATGGGGATCATTTCTTAGGTGCAAGAATTTAATTGCCTTTTTTCCGTGCTGATTAATAATGGATGCGGGTGCGGTTACACCTCTGACTGAGAGCACCGTTTTTCTGTACATACAGACTGCAGTCCGTATTTCTCCACTTCACCCTCATGGGGTTACTAACGATAAAAATAAGCTGACACTGTAAGTTTTCCTTTCCGTTTGTGGCTGTCCTTCTTCTACTGTATTTTGTATTCTTTTTTAATCGTGGTCCATGGTGACAGGCACTGTGCTGCTTTTTTTAAAAATACACACATACAACACACACATCTTCACCATGATACCATGCTAAAAGATGAGCTCAAGTCTTCACCGTTCCTCACGATTTCAGCACAACTTTCACTTCCCAGGCACAGAGTCTTCATGAAGTTGAGGTCACTAAAAATAGCCCACAACTCAACTTGTCTGGTGAAAAAGTGCATAAGACAGAAAATGAGGGAAGTGGGGGCTGGATTTTGCTGTTTCCTTGTGTTTGTTTTCTGTATGCTGTACTGGTGTCTTCAGTTGCTTTGCCCACCTATTCCCAAAGGAACCCAGAACCCCATGATTGACATGAGAACCAAGGCCCATAATCTCAATATATACATGTTTATTTTTATTTCTGGATTTCATGTTGCTCCTAGATTTCATGTTTGTTTATGTTGTGTGGGCTCCACCATCGCCCGATCTCTTTTGGTCCCCATGATGGGAAATCTGTGTTTGTAATATGACAGGACAAAATCTGTTAATAACTCCCAGGGATCACTGGGTACTTATGGGGGCCAAATCAATCACAAATCTTTTAAGACAAAGAGTGAGAGATGATAGGGAGAAGACCTAAAATGAAAAGGAGATGAGATGTGCTACAGAGAGGGGTGAGAGATGTTGGCAAGAAGACCAAAGCAAGGAGGAGATGAGATGTGCTACAGACAGGGGTGAGAGATGATAGGGAGAAGGCCTAAAGTGAAAAGGAGATTAGATGTGCTACACACAGGGGTGAGGGATGTTGGCGAGAAGACCAAAGCGAGAAGGAGAAGAGATGTGCTACAAACAGAGGTGAGAGATGTTGGTAAGAAGACCAAAGCAAGAAGGAGATGAGATGTGCTACAAACAGGGGTGAGGGATGTTGGCGAGAAGACCAAAGCGAGAAGGAGATGACCCCTTGAGAAACCATACCAAGCTATAACCTTGTCCTGAAATGTGGCTTTACACACATTTCTGCAGGATGAACCTGGCTCATGCACTGTGTTAAGTGTGTTTTCCAGTGTACCACTTTTTACTGCACATGTCTTTATTGCTGTATGTCATTTTCATGCTAATGGCTCCGTGCAGATGTATCTCAGATAGCTTCATCTTCCCTTTTATGTCTGGTGCTCCGCCTCCATGCTCTAGTGGTGTTTGCACTTTAAGTGTTTAAATACCTCCCAGTAGCTGAGGCATGAATCCTGTTTTCTTTGTTTTTCAGCTGGATCGTTGACAAAATATTTTCCTTATGTCTTCACAGGCACTGTCAACCCTATCTCTTTGACACGGCTTTGCGGGCTTAGATCTTTGTTTTCACTTTGAGATGAAAGACACTATTCAAAATCTTCATTCATAATTTGGACGTCTGAGTTTCATCTTTGTTGGGATATTTGGTAATCCAACAGGTGTCTGTTTGGATTCCTTCACCAGCAGCTCCTCTATCACACAGAGGGAGTTTGGCCTTTGTTTTTTTCTGCAGAACTTGGGCTGAAAGTACAATCTGTATCACAGGTCAAATTATTTATTGAAGGTAGTTTGCAGAAGATCGCCAGAAATTTCCACGCCATCCAAGTGGAACTAGGAAGAGGAGTACATTTCAAACCCTATTTCACTGCCTACTAGAAGGCAGGCTTACGTTTTCTTTTTGAATACAATCCTTGCCGTCTGTGTAGATGGGGTGGTAATGCAGTCACATCGCATTTTTCACTGGTAAACCCGTGTGTCAGCTGAGATAGGCTCCACCTTCACCGATTCCTTTTTTTCTTTTACTCAGTGGAGTCACTCTGTTGTCTGCTCAGCCCACGACACCTGATTCCTAAGCCTACTTGTTCTTTCTAGCAGAAAGAAGGGTGTAGTAAAGAAGCGGTTGCCATGAGAACAGCCGGTATTCCATCGGTGGGTGACCGGGACTTTTGCAAAGCCTCACCGACAGCCAAATAACAGAATGAATGATTTCAGAGAAATATTATGGATAAGAAGTCTGGCATGCGGTTCCCACTTATTAGAATGACATAATATTTAATAAAGGGAGCCCGAAACAGACAGAAGGCTAACACCTGTGGCATGACAATGCGTTGAATGGGATAGCGACCTTGGCCAAAGGGATGCGCTGACATTGAAGACGGTACGAGTGGTGAGTAACGCAGTATGTGGTATTGACACATCTCACGAGTGCCAGTGGAGGCCTAAGAGCTTCTGATAGCGACGGATTACATTCCAGCGAGGGCAGAGCACCGTTTGCCATGGAATGCATCATGGTGAGCTGCTTCCGGCAGTTCACGTTCCATCAGACTTCTTCATTTTAGGTGTGAGAACGCCAGCTTCCCTCCAGTCTTCTTACGTCACTCAACATGTCAGGGTTAAAGAAATATGTTTTGGAAACATCTTAATAGGAATGCTCCACCAATGGTCTTTAGCATGCGGTGTCTTTTCTGACCAGGATTGGGCTGAAGGACATTTGGAGGTAGCCTACTCCCTCCCTCAGCACCCTGCAGTGGACAGTTTCCCCACAATAACCCCAGGAGAGGCAAACAGATGATGTCGTCAGCAGAGAAAACATGTAGTTATCTCCAACCGTGCTGTCAGACAGGGAGTGCAGAGAGTCAGCTCTGATTGGCTGTCATCTACCCAGACATATTCTGCCTAATCAACCAGGAGTGAAAGGGCCATTAATGCATCCATATGGTGCCCCATTGAGAGAAATGCTCTGCGAGTTGACAGGAGGACCTTCTGAGTAACACTTGGCGAGTACAGTTCCGAACGGCCAGCTCATTGGGAGGCGCCCTCCTCCCTGTTACGGAGCCAGCAAGAGGTTACCTTTGGCACCTCCTCCACCTCCACACCTTCCTAAGCCAGGACAAGTGGGAGGAGTGACTCCTCAGATGGCTAGGTTGTATCCAAATGGTTGACCTCCGCTTGGCCCGATGATGGGATACCTCATTGGGAAGCCATCTGAGAGGAAACAGGAAGCACCAGGGCTGCACTCCACTCCAACACACAAAAAAACACACTTCGCCTCTCTCCCCTGACCTTACTTTATGGGGGAACATTTACCGTGACTCCAATGTGAGACAGGCATTAGAAAGCCCATTACAATCAGACTTTTCTGTAGTGAACCCATTACCACAAACCGAACAGGATATCCCATAATCCTTAGCAAACAGCGTAGTGGCACTGTGCTTGTCTAAGTAAGGTGAGCATCATCGGGACACAACCGTACGATGAGCATTTTATGGGTTTTTCCAAAACTATACAGAGACACTTTAAGAACTGCTCAGGAACCAAATAAATTCTGTTCCCCGGGAGACACAATGTCCAAGAAAGTTCTGTTCAGATCAGATCCGCTGCGCCCACTGTTAATGGGGCAGGAGATGGACTTGAAACAGTAAAGACAGCTACCCGCAAACTCTGGCCACACCGCCTTGAGATTCTAGAGGAAAATCACTCCCAGCTGCATGGATCTAGTGTTTTTTCAGCGTATACCTTTACGAGCCCAAGCCCAGACGGCCAAGTCCCCCTGGGTCACATATGCCCTTCTATGGCCTTCCAGGCTGGTCCCAGTCCGGCAGAATTCATTGGTCGTGTTCCGACATGCCGCGGGTTAGTGAACGGCAGCGCTCGTAAATTGCGCGGGAAAGCCGGGCATCCCAGCAGCATGCGAAGGGTGCACTGGCCCCGTTTGGGGCACTGCGGCTTGGCACCGAGAGACAGCCCCCATCTCCATCCGTCTCTTCCCTCTCATCTGGAGGAACAGCTACTGTTTTCACAGACCGGCTCACTGTCCAGGAGCTGCTATGGCAAGACGGTTTGGGAATTGGACAGGAGACCAAAAAATGCTCCTGGAAGCAGCGCTGTTGTGCCCTCGAGCGGGAAAATTACGTGAATTGCTTCAGTAAAACATCCAGCTGTACAAACGGGTGGGAGTTTAACATTACCGAATTCCTTCGGGTAAATCTGTTTGCTAAGCACGGCAAGAGCATGGTGAGTGTTTAAAAAAAAAACATCCTGGAAGAAGACCCGAGGTTTTCAGGACTTCCAGGGGACTGCGAGACTGAGCCCCCAATGTCCTTCCTCTTGTCTTGTCCCCAGTGTGCTGTTAATCAGCCACAGGTAACAAAGGGCTGGGCGGCTCAAAGTCACCCAGGAGATAGTCCGTCAGCGAGCGTGCCCTTCTCTGACTGCCACAGCTCCAGACAAGAATAAAAAAAACAACAGTCAAGCAGGCCTAAGAGCACCCCCTAGAGAGCAGGCTGGTCATGATGCATGAAGGGCTACTTTCTGCTTATCAGCCACTGGGGGGGGGGCTTTGAAAACATGCACTGGCATCGTTGAAATTACTCCACATCTTTACATTATTTAACTGCTGACAGTCACACTTTTATCCAAAGTGACTTACATATCTTGGCATAAATTGGGGGCCTAGCTACAGGGTACAACACACGGCACCCCGAGGGACCTTTGAGCTTAGAAGTCTTTCTGGTATCTAGATGGTATCTGTAGTCACTGTTAATGACACACTCCTTAATCTCCCGAGTGTCACTGCATGGGATTCCAACCATCGAACCAATGATTAGACCTTATCCAGCGACATCCATCAGCTTCATCTTCAGCTCCTAATGGAGAACATTCCTCTCCTTCTACAATATAGAATTAAAAGCCCATTTCATCATTAGAAAAGTTAAACTGTAGTGGGGCAGAGGGGGGTTAACTTCAAATGCAATTTCCATACAAATCAGCTGAGAAATGATGAGATTAAAAGATGCTTGGGAGAAGAGGAAAACACTCCTTGTTTTTTGCTTTGGGAGAAAAAGGATATTTAATGTCTCAACACTTAGAGCAGAGGAACATGGGAAAGCCTTCTGTAACTCCCTTTCTCTCACAAGCGGACAGATTGGGGTGGGCTTGCCTAGCAAGCCAAAAATAACAGCATCACGTTGCTGTTTTCACTGTGCAATTAGAGACTTTCACGAGACCAATGGGTAGAGAAAAATATAGCTAATAGTTAATCATTAATAGTAAGTTTCCTGCTACCAAAAACCACTTAACCCCCCCATTCCATTACAGGCCCAGGAAGTGCCAGTGCTCACAATGGCTGGATCTGAATTCTGGAACTCGTACCAAACCCCGGCATAAATGTTTTTAATCTTTTGTCTAGGTTGTTTCCTTAGGCTTCTAGTACAAGTACATCTGACTATAATTATACAAAGTGGGTGTCTTTGGCTGTTTGTCACGCTAAATTATAAATGATTCTTGTAAAATTCCATTGTGTTAGATTAAAAAAAAACTTCCACCAACAAATGACTGCATCCTGCTAAGGAAACTTCCAGAAGCTGGCATTGCACCTTGTTTCAGACTAAACTTGAGAAGCATGTAATGGGGGGGGAGTTAAGTTACCGGCAGCAAGCATGTCAATCCAAGACTACAGGAAAAATCATGCGAGATGATTGACATAATTACCTTAAAAGGCCGCAATAAATAATCAGGAGCCTTTGTGCGGCACATGTCCAACAGCTGCCGACATATTTCCAAATGCTTCACTACAAAATGCTCTGTGCAAATGTTTGCCGTAGAGGGTTCATGCCATTTATGGCTTGGGGAGTTGGCATTTCCTAAATATGTCTTAATTATGGCTCTTACACACAAGTGTACACAGACACGCACCTCCCCCCCTCCTCACAAATCCTTTTCAGTCAAACAGGCAGCAGAATATCGATGTGGGCAGACCTGCTGGACCCCAGGGCCCCCAGCGTTCAGGCCATCCCGCAGGCTCACATGCAATGGGGAAGGGGGCAGGGTTTGACCGGAGACGGGGCCCGCAGGGTGGCATGGTGGCTGAGAAACGGCCTGCTCCCATCCGCCTGAAACTCACAGCAGGAGCGGCCCGGCACAAATCACGCACACAATTAATACCCTCGCTGTAATGGTATGGGCCACACAAGCAAGTCCGTTTATGGGTCCGGCATCGATCAGCACTGCCCAACAACAAAGAACACTACTTATTAATGAGGTGGGGTGCACGGGGGCAGGGAATTAGGCAACCAGTGAGTGATATGTGTGGCGGAGGTGTGGGAGGATGGCAATTGGGCAATCAGTGACTGAAATGTGTGGTGGTGGGGGGGGGTTTGGGCAACCAGCGACTGAAATGTGTGGAGGGTACCAGCGGTTGGGGGGTTAAAACCATTCCGTTTCCGCATTACTTCCTGCAGATTGTGTTTATCTGCCCCGCAGCAAAACATTTTAATCGGAAAAGATTTTAAGGCAGAAGGAGGGGAGCAACACTTTGAAGTAAAGGTTACGGAAAGGAGGCAGCTGAGGACACCTGAGAAGGAGGCTGCCAGAGTGATGGGACTGGGGGAGTGGTGGGGGGTTAGACGGCAATCTAACAGGAACGGAAAGCACAAGAGTAATGAATGACAGGAGGAAGGCTGCGTTTTAGAGGACGAAAGTGGCACATAAAGTAGGGCATCACTTCAGTGTTCTGAATGATCCATGTAGTCTTCATAAAGATCCATAGGAAGAAGAGCATTCCTACAACCCTCAAAATGATCCATGAGATGGAGAGCATCCATGTGGTCTTCATCACGATCCATAGGAAGAAGAGCATTCCTACAACCATCAGAATGATCCACGAGATGGAGAGCATCCATGTGGTCTTCATCACGATCCATAGGAAGAAGAACATTCCAACAACCATCAGAATGATCCACGAGATGGAGAGCATCCATGTGGTCTTCATCACGATCCATAGGAAGAAGAACATTCCTACAGCCCTCAGAATGATCCACGAGNATCCATGTGGTCTTCATCACGATCCATAGGAAGAAGAACATTCCTACAGCCCTCAGAATGATCCACGAGATGGAGAGCATCCATGTGGTCTTCATTAAATTCCACAGATATGATCTACAGGGATATATACTATAGTATCCGTATGGTGATTTCTTGGAACCACCCAATCCCCATTCTGTATTCATGCCACATGCTTTGATTGGACAGCCAAGACGCTGCACCATCCAATCATTGGACCAATCAAAATCTCAGATCTCCAGGAGCAGGACAGATTAAGCACATGTCTGTGCACACCCACCACTACTGATGTGTGCAAATACATACCCCCACACCTCACTGCATAAACACGCAAACCCTACATACACATGGTACACACGTGTATGCAGTCCCTCCTGCAGCAGGGGCGCACAGTTCTTCAAACCCAGTGGGTCACGATCCACTCGCAGGAAAAGAGACACAAACAGATCCGGCTGTTCAAACACCCCTCGCCGGCAGAACAATGCAAACGGCGGCATGCCGTCTGATCTGAGCGAGGACGGCAGAGGGCTCGTCCACACGCTCTTCGGGGCTTCTTCCTTGAAGCCAGTGCTTTGAAGGGCATTCAGATGGGGTTTTATCTCATTAAGGGCGTGGGAGGGGGTTTTAAGGCTGCTGTTATTAATGCCGACGGGATCCCTTCAGCTACCTTCACACACCCGAGCGGAATGCATGCCATATTTCTAGGGCTGTCTGCACTTCAGACATCCTCCTCCCTGCTGTGATCATCATGCACGTGAAATCGTCCTCCCCAGTCCTGTTTATCAGGTACCACCGGCTCCCCCTAGTGGACGTGTGCACAAGCACGGAGCGTCGGCGGCGAGAGTTGACAGGAGACTCACAGGCGATGCGGACGTGTGCCTTGCGGCTCTTCGTGGTCCCGGCCGAGCTCCAGGCCACACACTGGCACCAGTAGTCCTCTGGGCCGAAAAGCTCCTCCACTTGCTGGCGGGAGATCTCGATGCTAGCTTCCCGCACCACCAGCCCTGCAGGGGGAGACAGAGAGCACTGAGTGCTGGAGAGAACATGGAACATGAGAGCGCACCCAACATGCAAAGAACAAAAACGCACTCTTTACAATCACACATATGTCAGCGTTCATGGGACTAAGAGCCTTGGACAGCTGATGTTCATGCAGGCCACTCCTGTGTCCACCACCCTGAAAGTGACACTGCTAACACAGCACTGACAAGCCCAACCTCGTGATCTCAAGTTGTCCTAAAAAAAAAAAAGCTTCGATTTCTTCTCCACTGGAATTTTCATTTATATCAAAGTCAGATCCGTAATAAACTCATTCCAGTCTCTGTGGCTACAGTACAGAATCGATGTGGCAATGGACAGATGTCGATAGCTGAGGGTTATTTAATGCTCTCTGACCAGAGGCGGAGAAGGGCGCCGTGGATTGTGGATACGCTGGACACCATACTATCTCCTGAAAGAGGAGGCATTGGGCCTGCTCCTTAAATGAGCCCAAATGAGCTGGTAAGGGCTGTGCTCCTGCAGAGAGTCTGCACTGGTTTTAAAGCTGTGGGTGAGCGGTGACCTTTTAGGTGGAGGTATGCATCCATGAGAAGAGTGGCACGATTATGATGGCCTCTGCATTTTTTTTTCCAGTTACACACAGAGATGGATAAAGGGCGCTTCAAAGACCTGCCCTTTAGGGTTACAGTTAGCCTCCAAAATAATCAATACATTAATCTGTTTTACTCCACCTAGTGCAGAAAATCCCAGAAGACTGATCAGTACAGCTGCAAAGAGCCGTAGTCTGTCACTCGATTTGTCCCCTCTTGCTGCAGCATGGGAATGGAGAATAACAACCACCAGACTTGCTATCTGAGTGTCTTTGATGCAAAGAGAAATGACACTGCTTACCAACCCATTTACTTGCTTATTTTTGAATTGCTGAATTGTTCTTGTTATAGTAGAGCAACAGACGTTGTCTTAAGGATATGAACAAAAGATCTAGAATTTGCAGTCAATGGGACTGAAAGAGATGGCCTGTCTCCTGCGGCAGAATAAGATGAGCTTGGAGACTGGGGCGAAGAAGAGGCAGGGGCACAAGGCAGAGGTAGGGGAAAGGGCACAAGGCAGAGGCAGGGGCACAAGGCAGAGGCAGGGGTACACGGTAGAGGCAGGGGCACAAGGTAGAGGCAGGGGCACGAGATAGAGGCAGGGACACAAGGTAGAGGCAGGGACACAAGGTAGAGGCAGGGACACAAGGTTGAGGCAGGGGCACAAGGTAGAGGCAGGAGCCAAGACAGAGGCAAGGGCACAAGGCAGAGGTAGGGGCAGTGGCACAAGGCAGAGGCAAGGGCACAAGGCAGAGGTAGGGGCAGGGGCATGAGATCGAGGCAGAGGCACAAGGTAGAAGCAGAGGCACGAAGTAGAGGCAAGGGCACAAAGCAGAGACAAGGGCACAAGGCAGAGGCAGGGGCACAAGCTCAGCAGCTTGGTGAGAAGACGGCCTTATGTGCTCCCATCAGATCTGATCCGGTCTGCTGCCACTCCATAACTCTCCTGCTTAGACAATGAGGCCTAGGTCAGGTCTGGTCCTGTGAGTATCCAGCACGCCAGTCAAAGAACAGGCACTGGGAACGCACAAGAGCAGCACCTTTTTTAGAAGGTGACAGTTTCTGGGACATGAGAGACATACATTATGGCACACGGCACCATGATGATAATAGGGCAACATTACAAAGAACTACTAATGGTTGACATCACACCATTAGCACTGTGATGTCACAAGGCACCACTCACTACCTCAAACTTGGGGGAGGGGGTTACAAAAATAAATTCAGCCCTATTCAGTCACTATAACCCATATGAGAGACGTCCTTTAAATACAGTGTGTAATCTTTGCATATTCTCAGAACCGGTGATAAAAAAAAAATACATGGAACATCTGAATAAGTGAACTGTGGAGGTCAGGGCAAACGCAGTCGTCTCTGACACCCGGGTGTATTCAGCGCACTTATAGCGCATGGCAGCTTGTCTGTTGTATCTGACCTTTTTCAAATGAAAGTGTGTGTGCACTGACCAGAGCTCCTAAGCTGGGGGAGTTGTTTCCTACAGCTCTGCAATCGGTTCAGAAGGGCCACTTCAAAGCTTTTCCCAAAAATGCCCGGGAAACAGCCCTGGAGATGCGGCTAAGGAAGGGCCTTCTGTGCTCACTGACAGCTCGCGCACGGAAACATCCCAGACTCCAGCAAAAAAACGATTATCACGGGGTCAGGAGGCCGGTAAGACGAGCCGTTTTTAAAGCTTCGCTCTAGTGGGACGAAGCACAGAGACGGAGAGGAAAGCCAGGCATCAACTGCACATGCGGAATTCCCTGGCTTTCCAAAGCCGGAAGCCCGTCTGCACGAAACACTGCGTCTCACAGTCCAACTGCTAGGGGGCCTTGTCATAAAACCAGTCGGACAGAAATACGGAAGGGGACAGCGGGGGGACAGGCGAGGCCGTGTAGCGGAATGACATGAGAGGAGTTGTCTCCTGTGAACAGGATCAATCCTCGGAGGTTCTCCTATTCCCGGTCAAGTGCTTCCTTCTTATGTTTTCGGACTGGCAATAACCCCCCTCCCCCCCCTCCACCCCCCTAAGGGACGGGCACTCAAAACTATTCCTCATATTCCAGCAATGCTGGAGGGGAGGGGCAGGGTGGGGGGAGGGGAAAATGGCATTGCTTGCTGACACGGAACGCGATTGACCACATTTATGAACCGTCGTGACCATAAATAATTGAGACGCATCCTGCTGCGCATCTCTGTTCCTGCGTGACGGAGTGCGAGAAGAAACCGTGAAAGGACACGTCGGTGCGGCAAAGGGGCAATGGGCTGAGTGCTGTTTGGGAGTGTCGTCTCACCACGAGGTTACGGGTTCAAATCCCAATAGGGGCCGCCGCTCTGCCCTTGAGTGAGCCAGTGAAACATCCTTCAGCTTAAATGGCTGAGCGAACAGCTCACTCTGACGTCTGCTGCAACCTCCGCTTTGGATAATTAATGTGATATTAATGCGGAAAAAACCCCCATGGGAAAATAATGAAAATATTAAAATAATGAAGTCACAAGAATACAGTGGATCGGATGGCAGGGCGCTTGTCTGACTCACTGATGTTTGTTTTAAGTTTTCCAGCATCTGCCTGCGATGCGGGACTTTCTCATGTAGGGGGTCACATTTCCACATTAACTAATCTCTTCCCTTTTTCCACCTGTGGAACTCAGGGGTCAGCGACGCTGGGCAGTACAGTCATTTTTGGCAGATATTAAAGGCAGACGTACATCGAACCATGACCCCAGACAACTGAGCTCCCAGACGCTCTTTATCATATGATGAATCGTATTGCACACACCCCCGCTATGTTTGGAAGTACGTGCCTAATTTCCACTGCACTCCTCCTGGGGGCTAGCAATCACGGGCGTAACCTTCCAACCGTGTCCTGGAAGCAGCGTAAGCAAGCAGGAGCTCAGAAGTCTGAGTCTGAGCATTAGTTTCATCCATAAGTCATTTGAGTCCGCGGGGCGCGGGGAGGGGGGGGGGTGTTTCCATCTTTATCGCTGACTACAGAGGACATCAACTTTAAGGACACAAGTGCTATGGGGTGTGGGTGGGGACAGGGCACACATGGAGCTCCAGCATTGTGACATCATATCACCATGGTTACCGATGCCGAGGTGCCAGGGCTCAAGCCATAGGCGGCTACGTCGACAGCCATGGGAAGGAAGTTTTAAAAAAAACAACAACAGAAGAAGGGTCTTAAAACACGACCCATTTTGTATATTGGGCTCAGTGGTCAATTTTATAACTGGAATTCGAGTGAAACGAAAGTTCAGAGTCAAGGTCTCCAGACCCCATTTTCAGGGCTAGTCGTTCCTGCTCTGAAATCCCCCCCAAAAGCGACGGCCCCCTCCCTAGGGCCCGATCAAGTAACCCCCCCCCCACCCCGCAATACACGCCAGCCCTCCATTATCCATTCCCCAGCCCAAATAGGTATCGAGCGGCTCGCCCTCCATCTTTTCCTTTCAGTCAGGGGAAATCGGAGAGGCCCCCGGTCGCCACGGCAGCGCCCGCCGCAGACTGCACGGTGTCGCCTTTCCGGCATTAGTGGATTTGGTTACCCGCCACACGCTTTTATTTAGCAGCGTTTTCACACGCTAGCCGTCCGGAGGGCAGTGGGGCTGCCTGCCCTGGACTGACAGAGCCGCTCTACGCCAGCCGGGGCCTTAAGCTCATTACAGGAGCTTCAGGTTTATGCCTGTGGTGTTTGGCACTGTGAGAAAGAGCTGAGTAGGCAGATTAAGGAACCTCCATCCATCATTCCATCCATCCATCCATCCATCCATCCATCCATCCATCATGAGTTCGAGCACAGTTCCCCAAGCGGGGCGAGGCAAAATTCCCACATACACCTCCACAAAACTGGATAAACTAAAAGCACACAGTTAGTTGTGATTTCATATTATGAACTATAAGCCCCCCCTATTGACAGTTCTCCCACCAAAAAGTAGGAAATTGAGTTCTGGGCACTGCTCACAGGTCGCTTCCCTGCTCAGTCACTCCAGCTCAGATTCTGAAGGACAGGGTTTAATAGAAGGCTGAATATCACCTGCCCTCCCCAGCCCCCTATCCCCCCAGCCCATAGCCACGGCGATTCGAGTCACCCCACCATCGCCATGGTGACTGTCTCAGTGACACGAAGGTGGCCTGCAGCAGCACATCCCGGAGCTCGGAAGAAATGCCATCGAGCAACAAAATACACTATAGAGCATACACGGAACGTTCCTTCAAATGGCGGGGAATGCAACGCCGATGTCTGTCCCGCTCCGCCTGAGTGAAAGGCGTGTGACTAATTTACCGGCTCCGGAAATGTCACCTTCCCCGTGTCCATGGCCAAAACTCATTTGTACGGCCCGGCGGCCGATTCTGCAGGGGGGGTGGCTGCGACAGGGGAAAGCAAGGGGGGGGTGGAGGCGGCTCCCTGACTCTTTGCTTACTGCGAGTCACAGACTTGAGTCAGATCTGCATGGTTGGCTGGAGAGAGAAGGAACGAGGAGAGAGGAGAGTAGGAGAGCAGCTGAAGAGATAGAGAGGAAAAATCACAAATAAAGAAAATGGCAGGAGACTGGGAGAGGATGGAGGGGTGGGGACGTCTCACCACAGCAGACAGGACGCCGCCTACAGAGAGCAGGATGGCCTGTCATGCTGCCGCGGTCGCGATTCCCGCCGCAGGCGATGCCGGAGGAGGGGCATGGTGTAAAGCTACGGCCTTGTGGCGGACGTCAGACTCACGCCTCCTGGTGCCACGCCGCGCCTGCGGATGGTTCTGGCTTTCATGATGAGTCGCGTGTGTCCCAGGGCAGCTGGGACGACCTCCATCCTCATTACAGTGCCAGTCTTTCCCGGGATGTTTGCGTGTTTGATTTCCTGACACCACAACTGACAGGATATGTGTGTGTGTGTGTGTGTGTGTGTGTGTGTGTGTGTGTGTGAGATCCCTTCCCGCTTCAGTGTTTTCTGGGTCTCACCCAGTACTGCATTCACGGGCTGGTGCATCCATCCTGGCCCCTAAAACTCTCTCTCCCTCCATCCACCCCCACTCCCGCCTGCATGGGGATGTCCTGCTCACTCTCGTTTCAAAGCGCCTAATGATCCCTGAACACATTACAGTAAAACTTAATCAGATGAAAATTAAATAGAGGAGAAAAAACAACAAACTAAACAACAATTTTTTTTTTTTTAAATCAGAGGATATATGTTTTGTGTCTCTCTGTCCTCATCGAGGAATTTCTCCAAAGTTGCCCTGCTGCACACACAGACACAGAGTAGCCCCACATACTCCCAGAGACACAAAGGGACCCAGACGACCCACCTGAGGTCTCGTCCACACGCTCCTCCACCGTGTGGTCCTTCTGGTGGACCCACTCGCTGTTGCACTTGAAGTAGATCTGTGTGGCGGGTGTGGCTTTGCAGTATAGGTTCACTGGCTTGTTCTTGACGATGTAGGCCTCCTCCGGCTCCATCAGGAAGTGGGGCAGGGGCTCTGGGGGATCTGACGGGAAGGACTCCGGTAATCCTCCTAACCCCAGGAAGTCATCGTCCACTAGGGAAAAGAATAGGGTAGCAGTGAGCGGGCAGCATGGATCCACCTTAACTGCTCTCCACCTGACATTCTGATCATTAACTTACATAGCTAAAGCCATAGACCACAGAACCGAAGGGGCTCCCAGACCAGTGCTCCCATTCTGCACCATCCCGCTCTCCCATTCCCGAACTTCTCCCTCACCAGGACCCTCCATGCTCCCGTTCCACCCTGTCCCACTATCCCGTTCCCAAACCTCTCCCTCACATGCCAGGACCCCCAGTGCTCCCATTCCACCCCGTCCCACTCTTCTGTTCCCGAACCTATCCCTCACATTCCGGGACCTTCATTGCTCCCATTCCACAATGTCCCGCTGTCCCGTTCCCGGATGTCTCCCTCACACACCAGGACTCTCCATGCTCCCATTCCACACCATTCCAGTCTGTCCTTCCCAGACGTCTCCCTCCCACGCCGGGACTCTTCGTGCTCCCATTCCACCCCACTCTCCCATTCCCGGACTTCTCCCTCACACACTGGGACACACTGTGCTCCCATTTTGCCCCACTCTGCCTTTCCCGGACATCCTCACACACCAGGACTCTCCTCGTCAGGAGACCAAACAGCCAGAGCCCTGACAGAGGCATAGCCCTCGCCCTCATGCTGCCAGCACACCTCCCACACTCCATAATCACGCTCACAGAATAAATAAAGCACCTTCCCAGCACGGGAGTGTGAGCTAAAGTGGGATAAATGTGGGATGCGTAGGAATATACTGACCCGGAATCCTATCAAAAGGCCGCTTAGATGCAGCTGTCGGCCCCCAGTGCGTCCTGGCTGCCACCCGGCCACTGGCAGGGGGACGCTCTGGCCTGCCCTGACAGGTCAAAGGTTGTGGCAGCTGGGCCGGCCTGCAGCCTTTATTTAGAATTTAAGCAGTTTACCCAGCTGGAAACTCAGTGACGCCGTTAAGCAGCCTACTCCGGGGTACATCAGGCAAGCTGAAAATCAGCCCAGTGGCTCCATTAGCCTGAGTGCTGGCAGCTTTAAAGAGCCGTGCCGTTCACTTCACCGCTTATTCGCGTGTGGAATCTTGACGCAATTTCACATGTGCCTGAGTAGTCTGGGACCAGTCGCAGGTTTCAGGGGGCGCCTGCTGTTGGACTGTCAGACAAACCGACCCACCCTCCCTGGCCTCCACCCTCTTGGTTGGACTGCTTCATTTGAGTGGTATGTCAAATCCAAACACCACTGCCCCCCGCCCCCGCACCTAGCATTCTGAAAGCTTATCAGTGCAGCCGGCGTGTCGGCCGATGGAGCGAGCCTTATCAGCTCTGGGGATCAGCAGCTGTGAGTGGGAAAAGTGCAGTCCCCCCCACCCCACCCCCACCCCGCATACAGAAACTCACACACAAACACACAGTGTGTGTGGGAAGACGTGGTCACCCCGACACCAAGCTCCACTCCTTTTCTCCTACATCACACTGAGCTGCATGTTTACCTGCATGTTTACCTGCATGTTACCTGCATGTTTCGCCGGTACCTCTAATGTAACCAAACCTCTGACCCCCAAATTCAGGTCCAAGACAACCAATTTACTGCATACCGATAAACAGCCAATTTCGCTGTATTTCATCGTATTTGACAGTGAAACATACTCACACACACACACACACACACACACTCTATCCCCGTGTGACTGGAGAGGCCCCTCTGTCAGCTAACACCCCCACGATGTGACAAAGTTATGAATTATAGCACAATGGGGTTCATTTCACTGGCTCGTTGAGTCCATCTCCACCCTCTCGCAGGTATACTGATGCAGATTGATACGCACATTACCATCAGTCTGTTTCTGTGATTCACCATGACCCTGTACTGGAGAAGTGGATCGGAAGATGGAAGGAGGAATGGATGGATTGAAGGATAGATAGATGCTTCCTTAATTTGTCTACTCAGCACCGTATCAGCACGTTATCATTTTCATTTATCATGTTCACTCCTTAGCTGATGCACATGTACAGATCCTCACACGCTTCATTTGGTTTCAAGCAAGCTGCCTTGTGGTATAAGCAACATGATCACAACTGCCGTTATGACACCATTCTGCACTGATATCGCCATTGATAGATACTGCCTGAAGGGGGCAGTAAAGAGCCCACTTTAAAACATTAGCCTGTGTTATATCTTTGTGGCCACATTCCAGAGAGAGGTTTGTGATTTGCACAGAGATGTACTGCAGCTGCATTTGAGACCTCCACCTCTCCACCAAACACACCAGGAATGCTGTAGCCCAGGTCCTGACCCCATGCACCACTCAGGAAACTCATTAGAGGGGCATTAGCTATGGAAGGCCCCCGACCCCCAACATGTACACACACAGTTCCCCCATTTATCACTCATAAATCCCCACCCACTACCACATGGAACCATGAAGGGAGAGAAAAAAAAACTGACCAAGATCCAACTGGGACAAGGACAGCGACAGGGGAGTGGAATGAGGGGGTTTGTCAAAAAGAGAGGTCTGAATAGAGACGTGGGGGGTACAGAAAGCGGAGGGAGGCAGAGAGGACTAGAGCCAAGGAAAAAAAACGATAGAACATGGAACAGAGTAAAGTGAGAAAAGATAAACAAGGATGGGAGACAGAGAGCAGCAAAGAAGGAAGAGTGCTATGAGAAAAGAGAGACAGGGAGAGTACATGGGAATGACAGAGAGATAGAAAGAGGAGGACAGAGAAGGGGAAGAATGGAGAGGGAGGCATGCGATCCATTGAGGGTGAGCCCCCTGACAACACACACCTGCAAACACACTCGTACTTACAAAGAGAAACACACACATCCAACTTTAGTCCGACTCCGTCATCATCATCATCATCATCACCATCATCACCCCTGACTGAGGTATATCCTCACAGCGCATCTGCATGCAGGTCCAGCAAGAGTATCTCATGTCTAAAGGTTAAACTAATATTGAGAGAGAATATTGGCTCAACGCTGGAGAGATTCTCCACAGTTACACTCAAAATAAAGCAATAAGCGGAGAATAAAACACATGCTTGTGTGAAATGAGCGGGTCCCTCTCTCCCCACACAAACACTTAAAATGTCAAGTGGCTGAAATAGAAAAATAAAAGCAGACCCGGAATCAAAACAAACGCAGAAGCTGCAGGTCAGAGCAAAGAACGGGGCATCAAGAGCCGTTCCACCCCACGGACTCTCAAAAATAAGCTGGAACCCCAGGACACACATGAGTGTGTAAAAGTAATAATAATAAACGTGTTTGTCTTCATTTCTTGCATCTAGCTTGAAGCTGTGCAACAGGGGTCCTGCAGAGTGCCGTTTGAAGGTTTCTGTCAGCACGCCATCTTCAAACGAAGCCCTTGTACCTTCAAACACTTGCTTGGTTCATTATCCAGTCACCTGTGCAATAAGTGGGTGTGAAGATCCGAATCAAAACAGTATGCCTTGCTCAGGAAGGCTGTGATCACATGGTACAGCCAGGGAGAGGTGTGAAGTCACCTAGGCAACATCTAGTTTAACTAAAGAGAAGGAACCTACTCGCCCCTCCACAGCACGTTTCCCAAATGAGAAGATACTGGGGAACCGCGTTAACCTGGGACAAAAATATCAGGCTGAGATCCATTAAGAGCCATTTCCTTGAACACTCAGGAGAGTCCTTCAACATCTACCTTTGGAAGGCAAGTATTCTCCCTTGGGGCAGTGTGAGGTTCAGCAGAATGGTGCAATCTGAGTCCACCTTACATGCTCCATTTTCTGGAAGTTTCCGGAAAATGTGGCTACAGAGGTATAATTGAGGTGGTGTCACAGAGTGAACGGACTGCATGGAAGGAGCCAGGGGCGGCGGTGGCAGGACTGGTGGCACACACTGGGGGCAAGATGAAGCCTGCGGCCGAGAGTGGATTCTAGAGCTGGCCCTCTGATGTTGATTAAGCGCAGGCAGTAAGTGAATGGCATATTGATCGGGCGACGCGGCTTTAAATAGCTCGCCGATCCATGCCAACGATAAATCAGCCCAAAAGTAGCTAACACAGGAGGACGCCTCTCGGTGCGTAAATCACAGGGAGTTCAAGGCGCACTTAGGGCGATAAAAGGTGGCAAGGAAAGGAGGAAGGGGCATCAGGCCACGTTGAGCGAGGAGGGCAGGAGCTGGGGGCCTGACCACACAAGCCCAGAGTGATTCAGGGGAGACGTGTGGGAAGATGCTGAGCACAGTCGGGGTGCAGACAGACCGGGGTCCTCTGCTCCACTAAGCAGATAACGCTGTTGGCCGTAGACACCCCCTTTGTGGCTGAGCAGCACCCCCGACGAGGCAGGAAGCAACGCCGGCAAGGAATGCAGTTATTATTTTTCGGGGGGGTGATAACAGCTGGCGCACGGCCCGGCCTTTCCAGCCCGCTCCAGAGATAAGCTCCACTGTGTCAGTGTGTAACTAGATTTATCTTCCCCAGGAAAAAAAAAGCACATCAGCCGTGTAGCTGGTCCATCATGCGTGATGAAAGGAGGGCCGGCACTAGCATCGCATCCTCCTCCTTTTATATTTCTCTGGTCCGCTTGCAGGCGGGGAGGAATTTTGCTGCTGATCTGCGGGGCACAGAGCAGAAAGGACTCCCCGCCATTATCGGTTAGAGGGACCAAACACACGCCGGCAGATGCTGAAAGGCATTTATTTTGAAGTTGTTCAAAGTCCATGGAGCAAAGAGCTGATCCACTGGCTCCGCTCGGTCTGTGGTTATCTCCAAGAGTTGACTCCGGGTTAACTCAGCAGGGAAGCCGGTCTTTCTTCTCCAGAAAGCTCGGCCGGCGGACCGGAGAGGCCGGAGGTCAGAGCCACAGTATCAGCACGTGCTGACATTTTCTGAGAGAGGAAGGCGAGCTGGCCGCCCGGCGATTTGCCAGAGGCTTGCCATCACACGGCATGTCACCTTCAGGAAGCGTGACATCATGCTGGGCGAGATCCGAGATAGCGAAGTCCCCACCGACCCCGAGTTTGGTGCCTGGAGGGGG